CCACAGACAAGGACTTGTAGAAAATAATGTGCATGTACAAGGCAAAAATCACCCAATACTGCATCTCTTTATATAAGGTAGACCACACCCACCACTGTCATTCATTTGGTCTGATTAATTCTCTTCCCACCTGTTTTAACCCTTGTGGTATACAGGCCCCACAAATCAGAGGCAGAAAAAAGCCACAGTGAAGTGTACCTGTGCAACGTACAATAGAACATTGAACAGGGATGTAAAAGGGAACCCTATTGGAAATATTTCTTGGCCCTATGGGTACAATTCACTCCAAGCTATTGCATGAGTTAAGGCAGTCAAATGACCACATCTCGCATGCAATACTGAAAATGTCAATTCACCTTTTCCTAGTTATGTGGGATTTCCCATCAATTGGAATAACACTCCGGAAATCAAACATAAAAAGGCCTTACACTCCGGTCACATCAAAGCCGATTTAGAAATTGTGCGACGTACAAGTGAAGATGCCGATTTCCTTGCGATTTGCAAGATATCTGACACAGATATCTATGCAAATCGCCACAAAAGTAGTACATGTACAAATCAGTGTCGGAAACGCACCCATGGACCGCTCTAATAGCAGACAATAGGGTGCGACTTGGCATACGATTTGCAAGTCACATGTCATGCAAATCACATGCCAAGTCGCACTCAATGTGACCGCTATTAGAGCATTCATATTGGTGTGGTTCAAACTTGGTTGGAGCTGCAACAATTTCTAAAGTAATGAATACACTACTTTTCATGTGTTTTGCAGAGAGATCTGTCAGATGCCTTGCAAATCGCACTTTAAATCAGCATGTCCCCAGACTTTGAAATCATGTGACTTCACTGTAAGTCACATGATGTGACTGTAGTGTAAATAACACCACTTAGAAATCTGCTTTAATGTGACCGGGGTAGCCCCCAGTAACATTGTTTGCAATTTGGCATGTAATTGGCATGACAGGCGACTTGCAAAGTTGCACCCTATTGTCCACTAGTAGGCTCTGTTCACATCCAATTGGATTGTGAACTCGTGCAACTTCACTGTAAGTTGGGCAATTGCCACATCGGATTAGATGTGACAGTGGTGTTAGCCCCCAGTAACATTGTGTGCAATTTGCCATGCAAATGGCAAGTTGCAGGCCATGCCAATCACATGACAAGTCGCATCCAGGGTGTACAATTTCAGGTGCGATTTGTGAATTGACATCATACATGATATCGGATATAAATGAATGTGAATGTGAGTGTATTAACATACGCGATTTGTTGCAGCACGATTTCAAAGGTAGTTCTTGTCGAACTTTTGGGCCATTTAGTAGCAATTTCACATCTAGACTCCAATAGAAATCGCAATGCTAAACACAATTGAAAACACAATTAGTTTGAAAATCTTCTAGAAAACACGGTGAAATTGGCAACTTAAAGGGGCAATTTTCAATCGCATATAGTGTGAACGAAGCAGGTAAATCAACAAAGGAAATAAATCTTTGAAGGCATGCGGTACCTGCCTGCTCGGATAAGTGTCTGCTATGCATTTGGGGGAAAAATCCACGCCAGTATTTGTAACAATTTTTGATGTGTGGATTCCCCACAAGCCTTTTCTCTCTCTCTCTCACTCTTCTGTATGTCTCTCTTTATCACTCTTCAGTATGTATCTCTCGCTCACTCTTCTGTATGTCTCTCTTTATCACTCTTCAGTATGTATCTCTCGCTCACTCTTCTCTCTCTCAGCTCTTTGCTTGACAAATCCTTCACAAAAGGGGGTGGAGTGTAAACCAGCATTATCAAATCTATTAGTAGCCCAGGCCCTTATCTCATCCCATTGTATGACATTCACATTAGGTGCAGCTTTGAAGGTTTCACCAGACAAGGCCTCATTCTAATTCACATTCTAGGGATCATTTAGACAGAAAGCAAAGATGTTGCCAGAACATGTATTTGAAGACAGCCACACAGGGAGATTATGCTACTTTCTTGCCGTGGTTGGGATTCAAACCGACAAACCTAGTGCTGTGAGGCAGCAGTGCTAACCACTAATCCACAGAACTGCAATACTAATCCACCCTGTATTTCTGTGCTGTGAATCAACCCTAAGTCCCTGGGCAAGGTCAGTGTAACTAGCCAGATATCTCAAATGTGACACAAATGTTGTGCTATGTTGCCAATTCTGAGTGTATGTTGGTTCTATGTATCCCAATACAAAGGATTGCAATACTAATACATGCGTACCTTGGTTTACCAACGCCTCGGGGAACGTCATATTTGGTGTACAAATGCCAAACCATTAAAATTAATTGGTCGGTTTACAAATGTTCGAATAATTTGGTTCACAATACAAAGTGTATGTCGGTGCTGATTTTTCAATGCTAATGGCGTGCCTTTTTTTGTCCTTCACTATAGTTCACAAGCTTAGCTGTCACTTTCCCCAAGTTACAGAACTATTGAAGAAATGAAAAATTCGATTCGACTGATTCGGCGAATTCGTGGACAATATTCGATTCGAGTCGAATAAATTCGCTGTGAATTTAACTTAAAAAAGGGTGTTTCTAGGCTTCAGAGAGACTTAATATTAGTGCAGAACACTGTACCTTTAATTTAAATGCCCTTGGAGTCTGCTGGGGAAGAGAAATAATACTGTCACTCAGTATGACATGCAGATGAGTGCCGTCGATCTTAGAATCACCGCACACTTCACTCATTTGGCCAGTCACGGGGCCAAAACCAGTGTTTGGAGCCACAGTGTGGCGGTGGAGGCAGCAGCAATGGGAGGCCATACAGCAACCTATGACAAAATGGAAACCAGCAGGAGTGTGAGGAGACCTGAAAGTGGCACATGGCAGAGTGGGAGCAATGGGAGGCGGTACAGGGACCCAGGTCACACTGTGGGCCCAGCAGCAGCGTGACCAGGCGGTACGGGGGCCCATGGCAGATTTGGGGCCTGGCAGCACCTATGGGAGGCCTGTAACCTGCCAGCAACCTATGACAAAATGGAAAACCGCAGGAGTGTGAGGAGACCTCAAAGTGGCACATGGCAGAGTGGGAGCAATGGGAGGCGGTACAGGGACCCAGGTCACACTGTGGGACCAGCATCAGCGTGAACAGGCGGTACGGGGGCCCATGGCCGATTTGACCTCGTTCATCCCATAGTCCTGCCGACTCACGAATAGCGTGGCCTCCTCAAAGGGCCTGAGCAAGCGCAGGTGTCACGCATGAGCTGACAATGGCTGACATCTAAGTTACACAGGGAGTACCTTTATCCGCTTTTAACATCAGGAAATCTGTGATGGCCTTTCGCTGTTCGTAAAGGCGGTCTAACATATGTAGTGTTGAATTCCACCTTGTTGCAACGTCACAGCATGAGGAGTCGGTACGGGGGCCCATGGCAGATTACGTGCCTGGCAGCAGCAATGGGAGGCCCGTAATCTGCCAGCACCCTATGTCAAAAAATTGAACACACCAGCAGTGTGAGGAGACCTCAAAGTGGCACATGGCAGAGTGGGAGCAATGGGAGGCGGTACAGGGACCCAGGTCACACTGTGGGCTCAGCAGCAGCGTGACCAGGCGGTACGGGGGCCCATGGCCGATTTGGGGCCTGGTGGCACCTATGGAAGGCCTGTAATCTGCCAGCAACCTATGACAAAATGGACAACCGCAGGAGTGTGAGGAGATTTCAAAGTGGCACATGGCAGAGTGGAAGCAATGGGAGGCCGTACAGGGACCCAGGTCACACTGTGGGCTCAGCAGCAGCGTGACCAGGCGGTACGGGGGCCCATGGCCGATTTGGGGCCTGGCGGCACCTATGGGAGGCCTGTAATCTGCCAGCACCCTATGACAAAATGGAACCCTGGGCTGGGGCAGGCAGAACCGCCGTATCTTTATCACGGTTTTCCCAGTCCCAGGCCACCGAATGGCGACGCTGCATATGCTGACGCAACGCTGTAGTCCCAACATGGGCCTACTGGCCACGCTTGACTTTCTGGCCACATAGTCGACATACGGCTACGTTTACTTCCTCGGGCGGCTTGACGAAAAATTGCCACACCGCAGAGTAGGAAACTTTGCCTCCGCTACTCCTCACTGGGCTGACTGCTACTTCCTCCGTGCACACCGGCACCACTACTGGCCGTGGTGGTAGGCTGCAGTGGAGCTGGTGCTCTACTACTCCGTGGCCGTTTGCCTCCACTGACACTGCTGCGACCCTGCTGCCTCCTGGCAGCAGCAATGGGAGGCCGTACAGGGACCCATGAGAGACTCTGGACTTGGCAGCAGCATGAGGAGGCGGGTATATAGGGGCCCATGGCAGATTAGGGGCCTGGCAGCAGCTATAGGAGGCCCGTAATCTGCCAGCACCCTATGTCAAAAAATTCAACACACCAGCAGTGTGTGAGGAGACCTGAAAGTGGCACATGGCAGAGTGTGGCGATGGAGACAGCAGCAATGGGAGGCCGTATAGGGACCCATGAGAGACTCTGGACTTGGCAGCAGCATGAGGAGGCGGTATATAGGGGCCCATGGCAGATTAGGGGCCTGGCAGCAGCTATAGGAGGCCCGTAATCTGCCAGCACCCTATGTCAAAAAATTCAACACACCAGCAGTGTGAGGAGACCTGAAAGTGGCACATGGCAGAGTGTGGCGATGGAGACAGCAGCAATGGGAGGCCGTACAGGGACCCATGAGAGACTCTGGACCTGGCAGCAGCATGAGGAGGCGGTATATAGGGGCCCATGGCAGATTAGGGGCCTGGCAGCAGCTATAGGAGGCCCGTAATCTGCCAGCACCCTATGTCAAAAAATTCTAACACACCAGCAGTGTGAGGAGACCTGAAAGTGGCACATGGCAGAGTGTGGCGATGGAGACAGCAGCAATGGGAGGCCGTACAGGGACCCATGAGAGACTCTGGACCTGGCAGCAGCATGAGGAGGCGGTATATAGGGGCCCATGGCAGATTAGGGGCCTGGCAGCAGCTATAGGAGGCCCGTAATCTGCCAGCACCCTATGTCAAAAAATTCAACACACCAGCAGTGTGTGAGGAGACCTGAAAGTGGCACATGGCAGAGTGTGGCGATGGAGACAGCAGCAATGGGAGGCCGTATAGGGACCCATGAGAGACTCTGGACTTGGCAGCAGCATGAGGAGGCGGTATATAGGGGCCCATGGCAGATTAGGGGCCTGGCAGCAGCTATGGGAGGCCCGTAATCTGCCAGCACCCTATGACAAAAAATGGAACACACCAGCAGTGTGTGAGGAGACCTGAAAGTGGCACATGTTTGAGGCATGATTCATGGCGGATTTAGTCAGTTGTGTCAGGAACTGGTGGTTTGAAATCCAGACTAATCCACGCCTGATTCATTTTCACAAACGTGAGTCTCTCCACACTTTGGGGACAGTCGTGTCCCATCCGCGGAGTTACAATACCTCCTGCCGCACTACTAAACACGCGCTCCGATGCCACGCTACTGGCCGGGCATGACAGCCTTTCAAGGGCAAATTCAGCTAGTTGGGGCCAAAGGTCAAGTTTCGTTGCCCAGTAGTCAAGGGGATTGTCTACCTCGGTTGGCAGGGTGCTGTCCAAGTAGGCCCAAGCCTGTTGTTTGAGGTCCTGCTCCAGGTCCACCTGATGCTGCTGCTGCTGCTGCTGCTGCGGGCTGGTTAGTAGTTTCCTCACTGCGCTGGTGAAGAAAGCTACTCATCATCGACTGCAGACTGAGGCAGCCGCTGCTGGTGGAGCTGCCACTGCTCCTACCACCCCACCCCTCCCCTGCTGCCATGGCAGCGGAATGCGAGCGCACAGGGCCCACAGTGTCTGAGGATGGACGTTGGCGCACAAAGGCAGAGACCAACTGACTACATAGGTGGTTTTTATAGTACGTTATTTTGGCCTCCCTCTCAGCAGGTGTGAAAAAGGCCACCATTTTTGAACGGTAGCGAGGGTCCAACAAGGTGGACAGCCAAAAGTCATCCCTCTGTCTGATGGTTATTATTCGGCTGTCGCTACGCAAGCAACCGAGCATGCTATGGGCCATTTGTGCCAAGGAATGCGAGGGACTCCCTGCCTCCATCTCCACAGCATACTGCCACGGTGCGTCTGGGTCCTCTGTCTCCTCCTCCTCCTCCTCTACCAATGCTCCTGCTCCTCCACTCCTGTCCGCTGAGTGGAAAAACCACCCATTTCACTCAATAATTCCTGAGCACAAATGTCCTCCTCTACCTCCTCCTCTTCTTCCTGTCCTGCCCCCACAGGGGTCATGTGGCGTTGAGATCTGTGCGCCACGTCTACCGCACCCTGACCAGCAGCATTGTTAACAGCATTTGTTCAGCAAGGACGTGCAACAGAGGAATGACGTCACCCTATGTCCCATAGTCCAAAACGACTCACGAATAGCGTGGCCTCCTCAAAGGGCCTGAGCAAGCGGCAGGTGTCAGCATGAGCTGCCAATGGCTGACATCGAAGTTACACAGGGGAGTACCTTTATCCGCTTGTAACATCAGGAAATCGGTGATGGCCTTTCGCTGTGTCGTAAAAAATCAACGGTCTACCATGTGTAGGGTTTAATTCCACCTTGTTGCAACGTCGCAGATCAGGCGATGCTGTGGAATTCCGTTCTGCCGCTGCAGCTCAAGGAGGGTGTAGCTTTGGCGGTGTAGGGCAATGGCTGAAATGCATGCAAAGTTTACGTGACATTTTAAGGATGTCTTGCAGTGGGATGGTGGATTTTAGAACCGCTTGACAACCAGATTGAACACGTGAGCCATGCAGGCGCCTGGCACAAACCTTCCTGGACGCAGAGCAGAGTGTTTCTTTCCGTTGTCGGTCAACAGGTTCAGCAATTGCGCGGAGACAGCCGTCTGTCAGATTTCCTGTTCATTACACTGAGAAGTTCCTCCCCTGTGTGACTACGTTCGCCTGGACCTGGCAGCAGCATGAGGAGGCGGTATAGGGGCCCATGGCAGATTAGGGGCCTGGCAGCAGCTATAGGAGGCCCGTAATCTGCCAGCACCCTATGTCAAAAAATTCAACACACCAGCAGTGTGAAGAGACCTGAATGTGGCACATGGCAGAGTGTGGCGATGGAGACAGCAGCAATGGGAGCCGTACAGGGACCCATGACAGACTCTGGACCTTGGCAGCAGCATGAGGAGGCGGTATATAGGGGCCCATGGCAGATTAGGGGCCTGGCAGCAGCTATGGGAGGCCCGTAATCTGCCAGCACCCTATGTCAAAAAATTCAACACACCAGCAGTGTGTGAGGAGACCTGAAAGTGGCACATGGCAGAGTGTGGCGATGGAGACAGCAGCAATGGGAGGCCGTACAGGGACCCATGACTAGACTCTGGACCTGGCAGCAGCATGAGGAGGCGGTATATAGGGGCCCATGGCAGATTAGGGGCCTGGCAGCAGCTATGGGAGGCCCGTAATCTGCCAGCACCCTATGTCAAAAAATTAACAACACACCAGCAGTGTGAGGAGACCTGAAAGTGGCACATGGCATGAGAGACTGTGGACCTGGCAGCAGCATGAGGAGGCGGTTATAGGGGCCCATGGCAGATTAGGGGCCTGGCAGCAGCTATGGGAGGCCCGTAATCTGCCAGCACCCCTATGTTCAAAAAATTCAACACACCAGCAGTGTGTGAGGAGACCTGAAAGTGGCACATGGCAGAGTGTGGCGATGGAGACAGCAGCAATGGGAGGCCGTACAGGGACCCATGAGAGACTCTGGACTTGGCAGCAGCATGAGGAGGCGGTATATAGGGGCCCATGGCAGATTAGGGGCCTGGCAGCAGCTATAGGAGGCCCATAATCTGCCAGCACCCTATGTCAAAAAAATTCAACACACCAGCAGTGTGAGGAGACCTGAAAGTGGCACATGGCATGAGAGACTGTGGACCTGGCAGCAGCATGAGGAGGCGGGGTTGGTTATAGGGGCCCATGGCAGATTAGGGGCCTGGAAGCAGCTGGGAGGCCCGTAAAAAAAAATCTGCCAGCACCTATGTCAAAAAATTCAACACACCCAGCAGTGTGTGAGGAGACCTGAAAGTGGCACATGGCAGAGTGTGGCGATGGAGACAACCCACCGACTGTTTTGCTCGCTGCCAAGCTGCCACCCTCTTCTCCTGATGATGCGGAAGCAATAGCCTGATGACGACGAGGCTGCCAAGTGCGATCAGCCTCATCATCATCAATTAGGGTCTCCGCCTCACTACTAGCCCCCTCGGCTGCGTGTGGGTCAGGAGACAGACCTGTCTCTACACCGGCTACCGAGCCACTCTCCTCGCCACTACTTCTTCGCCTGGCTGCTGAAGAGGCGGATATCTCCCCCCGTTCCTGACCGCCCTCTGTTAGCTCTTCCTCACTGTACTGAATGACACCGGGAGCACTAGCCTCTGGCTGCGAATAGTGCTGCCTCGACCCCTTCCTCTGCTGCCACGTCTGCTCGCTCCTAAAACATGCCTCCTCTGCCACTCCTCTGCATGTTGTCTGACATACTCTTTAATTAAACGATTCTGTGTCCCTGAGTAACAATTCTGTGGCCCTAAGTAACGGTTCTGTGGCCCTCAGTAACAATTCTGTGTCCCTGATTAACGTTTATGTGGCCCTATAAGTAACGGTTCTGTGGCCTCTCAGTAACCAATTCTGTGTTCCCTGAGTAACAATTCTGTGTCTGTGCGAGTAACAATTCTGTGGCCCTAAGTAACAGTTCTGTGGCCCTCAGTAACAGTTCTGTGTCCCTGAGTAACAATTCTGTGTCTGTGCGAGTAACAATTCTGTGGCCCTAAGTAACAGTTCTGTGGCCCTCAGTAACAATTCTGTGTCCCTGAGTAACAATTCTGTGGCCCTAAGTAACGGTTCTTGTGGCCCTCAGTAACAATTCTGTGTCCCTGTGTAACAATTCTGTGTCTGTGCGAGTAACAATTCTGTGGCCCTAAGTAACGGTTCTGTGGCCCTCAGTAACAATTCTGTGTCCTGAGTAACAATTCTGTGTCTGTGCGAGTAGTAACAAATTCTGTGGCCCTAAGTAACAGTTCTGTGGCCCTCAGTAACAATTCTGTGTCTGTCCCTGAGTAACAATTCTGTGGCCCTAACTAAAGTTTCTGTGGCCCTAAGTAACAGTTCTGTGGCCCTCAGTAACAATTCTGTGTCTGTCCCTGAGTAACAATTCTGTGGCCCTAACTAAAGTTTCTGTGGCCCTAAGTAACAATTTCTCTGGCACTCCAGTAACAATTCTGTCTGTCCCTGAGTAACAATTCTGTTGGCCCTAATAACGTTTCTGTGGCCCTAAGTAACAGTTTGTGTGGCCCTCAGTAACAATTCTGTGTCTGTCCCTGAGTAACAATTCTGTGGCCCTAACTAAAGTTTCTGTGGCCCTAAGTAACAATTCTCTGGCACTCAGTAACAATTCTGTCTGTCCCTGAGTAACAATTCTGTGGCCCTAATAACGTTTCTGTGGCCCTAAGTAACAATTCTCTGGCACTCAGTAACAATTCTGTCTGTCCCTGAGTAAGAATTCTGTGGCCCTAACTAGCGTTTCTTTGTCCCTAAGTAACGATTCTGTGGCCCTCATTAACAATTCTGTGTCCTGAGTAATGGTTCTCTGTCCCTAAGTAACGTTTCTCTGTCCCCAAGTATCGTTTCTGTGGCCCTAACTCTGTCCCTAATACAGAGCGGTCTGCCTCTGTTCAATGACTGCAGGCAAATGAAGAATTCCAAAATGGCCGCATATGTATAGCTCGGACCATTACACAGTGCTGGCTGGCTTGCTGCTGATTGCTGATGCGATCACATGTCATTGAGGAATGCATTATGGGTCAGCGCGCCTTGTCTGCGCGCCTTCCCAGACATCCCCGCTCCGTCGCCGCACATGTCCGCCGCCATTTTCGGAAAAAAAAAATTTCGATTCGCGCGTCCGAAGTAGGCTATTTTTCGGAAATTTTTCCGATATTCGACTCGAATTCCACTTCGGCTACTTCGATTCGCTCATCTCTACTTGTTACCTTTAAGGAAATAAACTCAAACAAAAACTTTCTCTTTGAGCCAGGGGAAGTGACAGCTGAATTTCTGAGCTATAGTGAAGACCAAAAAAGCCAGAATTACATTTAAAAACCAGCACCATAAAAAAAAAAAAAAACAACAGTGTGGGGTCCTCCCTCCCATCCATACCAAGTCCTTCGGGTCTGGTATGGATATTAAGGGGTAACTCCACGCCGAAATAAAAAAAAAAAAACAGCGTGGGGTTCCAACCAAAATCCATACCAGACCCTTATCCGAGCATGCAGCCCGGCAGGTCAGGAAAGGGGAGGACGAGGCGAGCACCCCCCCCCCCCCGATCCATACCAGGCCACATGCCCTCAACATGGGGGGGTGCTTTGGCGCAGGGGGGAACAAGGGCCTCTTCCCCACAACCCTGGCCGGTGGTTGATGGGGGTCTGCGGGCGGGGGGCTTATCAGAATCTGGAAGTCCCCTTTAACAAGGGGGCCCCCAGATCCCACCCCCCCACATCACCCCGGCTCACTGCATAAGACTGGTGAGCCTCCGTCGGGAGCGAAAAATAGAATCTATTGATTCTAGAAAAATAGAATCAATAGAACTAAGGAAATCAAATTAGAATACATAAAAATATGCCTAGTGCTGTTTGTTAAACACAGTAGACGAGATCGAGTGCCGGCTGTCAGTGGATTCCACACAGAGATTTACCATTGAACAGGGTCTAAAAAGAAAGCGCCCACAGAAGACGTCTAAAATGTGTTCTGCACATGCTCAGTTATATCCGGCCAAGACACTGGAAAAAGCATCTAGTTCTTCATTGTGACAACTTGCTTTAAAAAAATTTTTTTACACATTTTAACATTTTTTTGATATTGATATTGTTTAAAGTGAAGTCCTGATATTTGGCAAAGCAAATTTCAATGTGAACATGTCTCTGCAGTGATTTTTCATGGTGTTAGATGTGCTTCTTAGCAAGTCTGCTTTTTGAGTCTGATTCCTGATCTGTGCCTCGTTAGTAAATTCGATTTGGAGTCTACTTGTTGACGCTTCTCTTTAGTAAATGCCTTTGCAGTCTAAAAGTAGACGGTCGCTATTAAAAGGTAGACGTTAGCCCACAGATATGTGCCTAGGCACAATAGTAAATCAGGGTCTATGTGTCATGTATTTTAGAATAGGTGAAATCCTTTACTCTGGCATGTGTAGCCCTCCAGCTATCAACATGATGTAACTCACGGAACAGTTTCTTAATATGTTTCAGGGCTCTATATGATGAGAGGGGAGTTTTTACCAAGGAGGAATCTAAGCTAGGGTCCAACATCCCATTAAAATCACCCCCTAGCAATACCATGCCTTCTTGGAAATACCATGCCTTCTTGGAAGAGTAACAGATAAAAATCAACTGTCCATGTATGCGGGGCATACTGTATATAGCAGCAAAGGTATGCTTCTGAACATGACTCATTCCCTTGAGAAACAAAAACCTACCCTCAGAGTCAGATTGAACAGATAACAGAAAAAACGGGCAGGTTTTACTTATGGCAATGGAGACCCTTCTGGCTTTAGGGATGGATGAAAAACCGTGGTACCACTGGTCAAAACACCATCAAGGGCAGGCAAAGGGTGAATGAGGCAGTCAAATGCATTTCCTGAATCGATAAAATATCAGGAGCCAGGTGCAGTTCCTGCCAGAGCCAAACCCTCTGAGGGGAGCAAAGCTCCCTTACATTATAGGTCAGCAATTTGCAGCTTTCCTGAAAACAATCCTACCATGAAAGTCCTTGCTCAGGCACTTTACCTACATCAGATGAAGACTGTAAGCAGCCAAGCTGTTGCATACTGCATAGGCACATTCCACCTTTGCTACTATCTGGTACCCTGCCTCAGCAGTGATGTGCAGCCATTGCTAGAGTACATGCACACAACTCCAGATATTAGTACTTTGGAAAGAGGGGCAGGCTGGTAAAGATGACATGCTGCAAAAGCAAAAAGTGTGCGTGGCTACATTGCATTGAATACTGGATGTGGCTTAAAGGGGTATGGTAAAAGACAGTTTTAACCACCTCCTGTCCAGGGCAATTTTCAGCTTTCAGCGCTATCACACTTTGAATGACAATTGCGCGGTCATGCAATACTGTACCCATATGAATTTTTTACCATTTTTTTGAGACAGATAAAGCTTTATTTTGGTGGTATTTATTCACCGCTGGGATTTTTATTTTTTTTACTATGTAAATGAAAAGTCCAAAAATTTTGAAAAAAAGTTTTTTTTTATAAAATTTTGCAAATAAATAATATTTCATCATAAATCTTGGCCAAAATTTATTCTGTTATTTTTTTAGTAAAAAAAAAAAAAATCCAAATTAGTTTATAACCAAAAATTATAATTTTTAAACATTTTTTTTTTTTACATACTGTCACCCTAGCAGTACAGTGTCACCATGGTGACACTGTACTACTTGTGGGGGGTGATGAAGATTTTTTTTTTTTTTAACACTGATTGCTTTTACACCCATATAGGATGTAAAAGCAATCATTTCTCTTTCTCTCTGTCTGCATTCTTGCAGTCATTGAGAAGTACTGAGTGAGCTGTGATTGGTCACAGCTTGTCACATGGTACAAGGCTGTTGTGAATAGCCTTGTACCATGTGACCTCTGTGATCATTCACAGATTTCACACGTAGTAAGCAATGATGTCACAAGTGACATCTTGCTTACTACTTTGCATGTGATCACTGATTCGCCAATCAGTGAT